TCTTCAGGGACACAAAGACACACATGATGGTGTGACGATGGTGAAGCTGCAGATGCTGCCCAGAGCTAGCTGTCTGTCTGTCTGTCTGCATCCCCTCCAGCTGTATGTCCGTCTGGGATGTTGTCATGGAGCCATGTTTCTGTTAAAGCAGACACACAGCAGTCCCTCCACTCTCTGTGGGTTTCTCTCAGCAAACGTAGCTCGTCCAGCTTGTTGAGGAGGGAGCGGACATTGGAGAGTAGGAGGACGGTCCTGCTGGTCTGGAGGGGTTAGCCTTTAGCCTAGCATGGATCCCGGCTCTCTTACTCCTCCTTTGTTTATATTGGTACCGTTTGCGCTTCCTTCTCTCTCGGCTAACTGCCGGCGTCGTCTCTGATTGGACTCCGTGTTGGTGTAGTTTGTCCACATCACAACTGATCGCTGCAATTCCAGCGCCGTTCACTGTCCTGATGTTCAGCAAAAACTTCCAGCCGCAAGTTTTGTATATACGTCTGGGATAGACAAGACACTCAAAATATTCACTTTTGTTGTCTCCTGAAGGGGGCGCTGCGTCCATGCGTGCCGCCATCACCATGGCAACACTTGTTGGTAATCGAACTCAAAATTACATATTGTTTTATTTTCAGACCACTTCAGAGCTTTAGAAAAGTTCTTGAGGCATTTTAACTTCAAAGGATGAGTTAAACGAATGAACAGCTGAGAGTTCACCCAACTCGATAAATTAGGTTTATTAAAAACAAAACCAGCAAAAAAGTAGACTTAAGTATTAAAACTCCACAGACATGGTGGAAACTAACATGTTTAATTAGGTTGTGGTTGTTTCTTTTCTTAATAGGCAAATGAAAACACTTCTAGTCATGACTATTGATTAAATTCAACAGACTTGATTAGAACTGATGGAGCAGGACAATATTTTTAGGGGGAGTTGAGACCGTTACTTGAAGCAGACACTCATATCTTGAGGTTTTTTTCGCTATAGGGTCGATATAACTGTCACATTTTTTGGTCACATTCTTTTATCATTTTATTTATGAAGCACACCATGAAGACTGATATATAGTAATCTTTTCCCTTAGTGTTCAATCAATTTAAAAAAAAAAAAAAACTGTAATAGCTGTTCTAAGTTGTGCTTTTTTAAGTTGTTGATATTCCAATTTAAATTATAGGCTTAGGTTATAACAGACTTCAGTATTAGTGGTGTGTGGTGGCCAGGGTTCAGTCTTCCCCGTCCCCCCCGAGTCACCCCTCAGGTCTGCCCTCAGTTGGTGACTTTAACCTTCAGCTCAAACCACCACTTCGCCTCACAGAGCCTCTATGACGGGGGTTTGAAAAGTTCTCGGCTTCACCTGGAAACAAGGGGCGTAACTCCAATTTTGGGGGCGTAACTGTGTATTATAAAGCCTCATATCGCCGTCCACAAACACTCAAATATTTAAAGCCAGAAAGGAGAGGAAAGCTTGGGGCTGGCTGCTGCTGCTTCAGGTGGCAGAAGCAGCCAAATGTGGCTTTGAACTGTTGCTCCATTAACCCGACTAACCCGGCCTGCACTGTCTGGCTTCTGTTTGCCAAACTAAAATCCCACTTGCTTGGTTGCCATTTTCAGAGTGATGCTGAAGTCATCCATGCTGTTGAGGAGTCTC